CGTCGTACTTCTCGCGTAGGAGTAGTTCGATTGTCTCGACTGCCAGGTCCTGCGGGATAGAAGTAAAAAGGGACGTGACATCAAAGGAAACCATGATATCGCTTGGCAGGAGACTTACTCCTTTAAGTTTCTCCAAGAATTGCGTTGACGATCTGACTGTGGTGTTCGAATCGGAGGTCAGAAACTTGAGACGTTGGAACAGCCACTTTGCCAGTCCGTAGGTTGGAGTGCCCTTTAGTGACACGATAGGCCGGAGAGGAGCGCCCTCTTTGTGCACTTTTGGGAGACCGTAGAATCCGGCTAGGGCCGTTTCTTGTGCTCTCGCCATGCGTCGGTCGATTGGCGATATTGCACCTGAGTTCTCCATTGCCAACAGCGTCGCGTTTATCTCGCGTGTCAGCGTTTTCATGGGGTTGGATTCGCATGGGACATAGGACTGACGATCCTCCAACAAGCTTTTCGCTCTGTCCTGTCCAATACGACCGTTGAATGCCCCTTGTCCGCAGGCACGATAACGAGGTCGTTGTCGGCCCTGAGTTCCTTAAGTGCATCGCGCTCGACCTTGGAAAGCACATCGCGCGGCCTATGAGCCATGAGGAGGGAGGACACTTGGTGTCGAATGAGGTTCTTCGTTTCGTCTGTCGCTCCCGTCTGCCTGAGGATTGATTCTACTGCTGCGATCATGTTGGCAGGTTTGGCATCGGCTGTGTTGAATGAGGCCTCATGCCGTAAAACCTGCATTTGTTCCTCCGTCAGCTCCTTTGACGACAGGTTGTGCACCAGTTTGTCGTTCTTGGATGACATTGGAGCAGGCAGCTTACGAAATTTGCTCTCTAGGGCTGCTTCTCGCGTTGCTTTATGTTCGCGGGTTCGTTCGGCCAGCCTCTGCTGAAGCAGTTTTATGCCGTCCTCGCCCATGAACTCGCAGCACCTTGCTTTCTCTTGGTCAATCCTCTGACGGTATTTGCGAATCCGTGAGTGACAGTCTTGAAGGAGCACTCGGATTATTCGTCGGCCGTGCTGAAGTACTGCGCGTCTCGCCAGCTCTGTGTTGACCGGAGGTTTGTATAAAACACACTTCGGCAGCACATTGTTGTCGAGACACCTGGGCAGAAATCGAATCTGCGCATATGTTGACGAATCTCGAAGGGCAAAGGTTTCACACCGTCGAGCCGAACGGAGCGCTTCGCGCCCAAAAAGATTGCTGATAGAAGCGAACAGGCGAGTCCCAGGTAGCAGTTCAGAAGATGAAGATGCGATCACTGGGACAAGACGTTTATTTGCCTGACGTTTCGGATTCTCACTCGAATCCATCCTCAGAGACATTCGCAGATAGAGGTGAATGTGGCACCAGGAGTGCAGTATTTATAGCACGTGGCTGCCGTAGGACCGTATGCGCGCTGCAATTAACAGTTCTCACAATCGCCGCTGGGGTCGTAATTGATGCGGCGGTGGCTTGGCGGTCCGAGTCCGAGTTGTTAATTGCCGCGATTTCGTCATCCGTGCTCGATGCTGGTGTGACGATTGCTCGGCAAACTGGCTCACTGACACCGTGACAATTGCTCACCCGCGCCCTCCCCACGTGACTGATTCTCCTGCCCAGGGAAAATCGCAATACGTCAGCTTGTCAACACAATTCTTGGAGAAACTTAAAGGAGTAAGTCTCCTGCCAAGCGATATCATGGTTTCCTTTGATGTCACGTCCCTTTTTACTTCTATCCCGCAGGACCTGGCAGTCGAGACAATCGAACTACTCCTACGCGAGAAGTACGACGAAACGGAGAATCGCCTCGGACACGCCCAAATCATCCAGCTCCTGAAGTTCTGTCTCAAGACGTACTTTACATTCGACGGAACAATCTAAGAGCAGGTGAAGGGAACGCCAATGGGTTCGCCGATTTCGGGACTCATAGCCGAGGCGGTCCTTCAACGGCTGGAGTCGCTGGTTTTCCGACACCACAGACCGAAATTCTGGGCTCGGTATGTGGATGACACCTTCGTCGTCATCGAACGGGATCAGGTGCTGACTTTCAAAGAACAACTCAACGCCGTCTTCCCGGACATTCAATTTACGATGGAGGAGGAGGAGAACAATCAGCTGGCCTTCCTGGATGTCCTCGTCTGCCGCAAAGATTGTGGTGTCCTAAAAACCAAAGTGTTCAGGAAAGCGACAAATACGACGCAAATACTGAACTTCAATAGCAACCACCCGATCAGTCACAAA